TGCCCAGGCCCAGAATTCAGGCCCCACGACCACCACCGCCACCAACAAATCTGCAAGGATAGCAGTCTACCTTGTTTATGGTATATACACATGGGATAATAGTTTACAGGAATGCTGAACACAAAGTCACAGGAGATGCTTCCTCTGGGGTGCAGTAGAGAGGAGTGAGATTGAGGAGGGGGCCTAGAGGGCCTTCAGTGGTAGCTATTGATCTCTTTGTACAACAACTCCTCCCCCTCCCCCCCCGTAACTTGTTTGTTTGTTTTGTGTCCTGGAGCACCAAAGTTGTGCTTGCTTTGGCCTGGTGTGCTAGGAGTTTTGGAATTTGCTCTGAGACTTGGTGTGCTTGTCTACTTAGCTATGGGAGAGTCATGTGCCTACATCCCCATGTTGGGAACTCGGCCTCTAACTTGATGGTATCTGTGAGTGTTCTGCTTCTCAGTGTACTGTGAAGAACAACCACAGTAAGTAACTCAGAGATTAGTTCCAGGGTTGGAAACATAAGTCATTGTTTTCATTTTTCTTTCATCTGTAAGTTCTTTTTATTTAGTTTTTGAGATATTTCCTAGGCTGGCCTTGACCTCCTGGGCTCAAATATCCACCCACTACAACTAGCTGGAACTGCTACAGGCCTGTTCCTGCATAGGTCCTAAAAGTGTTGACAGACTCTGCTTTGGAATGTTAGAACCTCTGTTTAAGGAACTGGTTTGTGCCCCTGTTAAGAGAGAGATTGGAGGCAGAAGTTGAGGGATGTGCAAGGCCCCCTGCCCTCCCACCTCCCAAGCCTTTCTGGTAAACTAGGAAACTTCTGGGAACCCCCAGTGGCTTCCATCTCATCTTGGTTAGCCTTCATCCCTGGGGTGACCTGCAGAAACCCCTGGCTTTTTCTTTTCTTTCTTTCTTTCTTTCTTTCTTTCTTTCTTTCTTTCTTTCTTTCTTTCTTTCTTTCTTTCTTTCTTCCTTCCTTCCTTCCTTCCTTCCTTCCTTCCTTTCTTTCTTTCTTGTCAGTTGTGGGGCTTGAACTCTGGGCCTGAGCGCTGTCCCTCAGCTCTTCAGCTCAAGGCGAATGCTCTACCACTTGAGCCACAGCACCACTTCCGGCCTTTTCTGTTAATGTGGTGCTGAGGAATCGAACCCAGGGCCTCATGCACGCAAGGCAAGCACTCTACCACTGAGCCACCTTCCCAGCCCTCCTTGGCCTTTTATCCAGACCTGTGGTCCACCCAAGTGTTGGTTCTAGTTTCTGCTGCAGACCTAGTGAAGGAGGGAAGTGAAGGAGCCCGAGGGACAGTTGAGGATAGTCAAAGGTGGCCAGGTCCTGCTGTCAGTCTCTCCTCTGACCCAGACAGCCACACTTCCTTTACCTTGGAGGGCATTTTCTTGCCTGTGTGCCTCCCTGCTTGTGGGACCCACCGGGTAGCCCAGCCTCCTTGATGGTCTGTTGCCCTCAGACTGTGAAATTGGGGGTGGGGGTGGGGCAGCATAGCCATGGGAGAGGGCCTTGAGCTGACTCTAGATAATGTCTTCACAGATTTGGGAAAATGTTTGGGAAATAGATGGATTTTTCACTTCCCCCCAACTCTGAAGTGGAATTGTTGTGCTTCAAGAAAGGTCTCAAAGTGGACCTTGGGCCTTTGGCCATGTATTGTTTGCTTTGCATCATTGTTTAAACAGATTTAGATGGGTTTGGACATTTAAAAATTTGGAGATTACAACCCAGTGCTGGTGGAGATTGCAACCCGGTGCTGGTGGCTCACACCTGTAACCCTCACTACTCAGGAAGCTGAGATCTGAGGATCGGTATTCAAAGCCAGCCCAGGCAGGAGAGTCCATGAGACTCTTGCCTCCAATTAACCACCAGAATGCTGGGAGTAGAGCTGTGGCTTACAGTGGTAGTGCACTAGCCTTGAGCGAAAGAGCCCTAAGTTCAAGCCCCATGACCACTACTGCCACCAACAAAAAAAAATTAGGAGATTCTATTCCTGAAACGCAGAAAGCCTGAGAGAGTGAGGGAAGAGGTGACATTGTCCAAAAAGAAATATGCTCTTTCCCTGACTTAATAAACTAACTCACTGTATATCACCTTTATGATAATAATAAAAATTAAAAAGAAAAGAAAGGCAGAAAGCTGTGGCAGCTGTGGCCCTCCCCCTGTTGAATCTCTCCATTTGCCCTGGTCAGCCCCCTTTGAGGTTGGCAGGCAGCTGGTCCTGAAATATTTGAGTAAAAGCCCATGCTCTAGAGCCAGCCAGGTGTGGAGCAAAGGTGTTAAGCCCTCCAAGATTCAAGATTCCGCATTGCTAAATGCGAGTAGTTATTTTATCTTTCCAGGGTACTGTCTGAGAATCAGGTGCCCTTATGCAGGTAAAGCATGTAGTGTAGACTCATCACTGTCATTACTATACATGGAGCACGCTGATCCAGGTGAACTCAAATTGGAATTCATACTGAGGCAGTAGATGGATGTGGGTGCTAAGATTCCTGCTCTCCCAGTGGGGTCTGAGGCCCAGGTCACTTCTTGTGGAGAAATGATGGTCACCAGGTACCTGGACAAGGAGGCTGAGCAGCAGAGCATGGAGGATCTTCTGGAGGACTGCTGCAGTTGGGGGTCTCAAGCCTCAGAAATGCAGGTGCTGTGAGGCCGCCTCCGTATTCACTGGCAGGGAGGCCAGATTATCTGGTAACTCACACTTAAAAAATAAAACTCACCCATTACTCCTTCACCCTGCTAACTCTGTTCTACTCAGTCACGATTCACACATTCCCCGGGGAGTCTCTTCCCTCACACCTGACGCTGGTTCTTTTTTTCACTGGATTTGAGGTAGTGTCTGGTTTGCTTAGACTACAGAGGCTGGAACAAACCTTATCCAAGACCCAGATCTGTGAGCGTGGGCTTGCTTTGCAGCAGGAAGGATTGGATTGGACAGAGGGAAGAATTTCCTAATAGTGAGGTGATCCAATATTGCAATATATTCCCAGTCCCCTTGGTGGCTCTCTGCCCATCCACTGTATTGAGTAGCTAGAGAGTCTAGACCACAGATTCTGGCTAACCATGGTTATTTCATTTAGAAATTTGCAACACCAACACCAAGAACATTAATAAAGTAAAAAAGGACCCAAGCAGTAGAGTACCTGCCTACCATGCTCCAGGTTCCTGAATGCAATTTCCAGGGTCATTAGGAGAAAACAGCATGTGCTAGGGGCTGAGAAATACAGTTCAGTGGTAGAGTACTTGGCTACCATGCATAAGGTCTTGGGTTCTATCCTCAGCATCACAAAAATATTAAAAAAAATTGATCTCAGAATCCTGCATCACTAGGATAGATTTTTTTTTTGGCCAGTCCTGGCGCTTGAACTCAGGACCTGGGTACTGTCCCTGAGTTTCTTTTGCTCAAGGCTAGCACTCTATCACTTGAGCCACAGCACTACTTCCAGCTTTTTTTCTATAAATGTGAGAATGAGGAATTGAACCCAGGGCTTCATGCATGCAAGGAAAGCACTCTATCACTAAGCCACATTCCCAGTCCCACTAGAATGGATTTCATGGGTACTTTTCTTCGTAAAGTTGGGCTCTTTGTAAAGTTCTCTTTAGCCCTGGCACAGGCTTCTGTAGGAGGTTCAAGGATAGAGTCATGCCTATTTGGAAGGACAAGCTCTTAAGCAGCACCCATGAACACGTGGCCCAGGAGATAATCCTCTCAGGTTGCTGCTCAGGCTGCTTTGGGCAAGGTAGTGGATGGTCTCCAGACCAGTTGGGTTGAGGTAGGGCCCAGCCCCACTGGGCCTGTGCTGGGATCACAGTGTTTACCTTGCATGACTTAGCAGGCAGGTATCACTGCATCTGATGGTGGCTGAGGCATCTTAGAGGTTAGGAGATACATTAGAGGACTTGGGGAAAACTTTTAGAGTCCTTGCTTACTCTTTAGAACTTTTATTTTTGTCATGGGGCTTGAACTCTGGGCCTGGGTGCTGACCCTCAGCTCTTTAGCTCAAGGTGAGCTCTCTACTGCTTGAGCCACAGCACCACTTCTAGTTTTTTTTTTCTGGTGGTTAATTGGAGATGAGTCTCATGGATTTTCCTTGCCTGGGCTGGCTTTGAACCATGATCTTCAGATCTCAGCCTCCTTAGTAGCTAGGATAACAGGCATGAGCCACTGGCGCCAAACTAGTCTTTAGAACTTTGAGGTGCTCATTTGGTTCCAAATCTTCCTGATATCCCTGGCCATGTTCAGTACCCATCTTACCCCCTTTCAGATCTCTAGTCTCAGTGCTGACAACTTACCCACCCACTCACCCAGTTACATCAGTGTCGTTCTTCAGGGGCTCATTGGTTGATGTCAATACTCCTTTGAAGCAATATTCCTGCCACACTTGTGATGCCTCTGGGAGATCAACTTTGCCCAGGAGGCCCCTGAACCAGCTTAGTACCTTTGGCTTGGTGCTTAAACCAAGGGGAAACCCTATCCCCTTTGCCTAGCCCAACATAAGCTCTTGGCTATAAATGCCAGTCCCCACCCCAGAACCCACTTCCTTCCCTCCCCCACCCCCCGGCTTCAGCCTAATTGTGACATTTCCACAGAGGCCTTGTCCAGAACTGCTATCTTCTTAACCTTAGTCCTACCTGAGGTTCATGTCTCCTTTCACAGCCAGGGTGAAGATATTGGACAGGCTTCCTCCTGGTGAGCAGCCACAGATCAAGATAGCCAGCGCCTCAATGTTGTTCAGCTTGAAGACCTTGCCAAGCACAAAAGCAGTGAGGGGCATGATACCATACTGGGCCACCAGGGCGATGATTGCCCCCTTAGGTTTCCAGAAGTGAGCCTTGATTTTGCTGAATTCCATGGTGCAGCCTAGTGAAAGCATCATTATCAGCAGCATAAGCACTAGGATGATGCTCAGAGCCAGGTCAGTAGGACGTTTGCCAAAGTCAGGCGGCAGGGAGAAATTGAAGTGGGCAGACACATTGTGCAGCTCCATTGTTCCAGGAGACAGTAATGATCTTGTGTCTTGTTTCCACCTTTGCTTGTTGGATGCCTTCTTTGAATCACCTCTCTGGACAGAATTTCTGACAAAATGTTGCTCTGGTCAAATAGAAGGATTATGCAATGAACACAGCTATGTGGCTGTGACTCTTCAGGGAAAAGAGCCCAAAACCTTATCTATCTGGCTTTCCCTACCTCCCTTAAATTCTCTGACCTCTGCCACTCTGCCAGATACGGCTCGCATGCCTCCTTTACCATCTATCTGGATATTTCTGGGACCAGGGGCCTCTTTCCCTCCCCTGTCTGCCTCTGATCTGGCCTTACTGGCATTAGTCCTGAGATCAGTCTTGGTCCCAAACCAACCTGGTTCCAGCCTTTCTCCTTGACCGAGCACCTGCTTCCTGCTCAGTCCCAGACGCCTCAGGTTCCCCACTGAGAAAGCGCCTTCCCCAGGGTCAGTGGATTACCCATTTGTCCCCAAAGACCACATGAGAAGTATCATCTTTGGATCTTCCTTGTAGGTGTCACAGCCCAAGATTTTAGGACAGGAGGGGGGCACAGGGTAGGTGGTGTTACTGCTTCCAAGATAGGGCGTGTCTAGTACAGTCTCTAGGCGAAAAGGATGGCATCACCTTTTTCCTGTCCTGGAGAATCTTGTCTTCTTCCCACACCCAGATGGCACAGGTCTAGGGGAGCACTGATGGCTGCCTGCAAAGCTTCCTCCTTGGGGAGCAGATGGGCTCTCAGAAGCTTTCCCCAAAGGTTGGCTCAGTGAGACCCAGGTCAAGGGAGTCTGGTTTGTGCATGGGAACCCCATTGTTTGGGAGCCTTGTGGAGAAGGAAGCAAGAAGGCACAAGCTTTTCCTTCTGATTTGTCTACTGCTCTGTTCTTGTACCAAACCTGTGTGTCTCAGGTTGGAGCCAGGCTCACAGAAAACCATGGCGGCAGCAGCAGCAGCAGAGAGGCAAGAATGGTTCTCTTGAGCCTTGTTCTTTTTGTCCTTGTTTCTTGCTGCAGGGGTGGACAAGGAACGGGTCCTACAGAAACATGGCTACCTCTTGGAGTGGTAAGATCTACCATTTCCTATTTACTGAGGGAGGCTTGGTGTATAGGACTCCATGGGGGAGAACAGATGTGTGAAGCACTATGGGGTAAGAATTTTTTATTTTTCACTTGGTGTGAGAAACGATCTGAAATTTTTCCAGAAATCTAACATAGCTAAAAGATTGGATTCCAGGATCTTTATTAATCCCTGTTGTATCATGAGAAGAATGGGTGACCTGAGGTTGAAGTCCCTTTTCCTTTTTTTTTTTTTTTTGTTGGTCATGGGAGCTGAACTCTGGGCCTGGGCACTGTCCCTAAGCTCTTCAGCTCAAGGCTAGCACTCTACCACTTGAGCACCACTTCCGGCTTTTTCTGCTTATGTGGTGCTGAGGAATTGAACCCAGGGCTTCATGCATGTAAGGCAAGCACTGTACCACTGAGCCACCTTCCCAGCCCCTTACCCTGTCTTCTTAATTACCTTGTTTGTAAGGTTTGGGACATTAACTGGAGAAGTCTATGTGGTTAAATATTGGATCCAAGCCGGACACCGGTGGCTCACGTTTGTAATCCTAGCTACTCAGGAAGCTGAGATCTGAGGATCGAGGTTCAAAGCTAGCCCAGGCAGGAAAGTCCATGAGATTCTTATCTCCAAAAAAAAAAAACTACTCAGAAAACTGGAGGTGGTACTGTGGCTCAAGTGGCAGAGCACTAGCCTTGAGCTGAAGAGCTCAGGGACAGCACCCAGGCCCAGAGTTCAAGCCCCACAACTGACCCCCCCAAATATATATACATATGTATATATATGTACACATATATGTATATGTATTTATACATATGATCCAAACTGTCCTAGACTAATTCAAGCAACACAGCAATTTCACAAAGGCAATAATGGCTGCATTGCAGCTCAGGCAAATTTTCGTGACCATGCGTCTCCCCAGATTCTTGCTGATGTGTGAGCACTATCAAGTTGCCAAGCAAGCCATTCACTTGGGTTGCCATTTGTAAATGTGTGTGTGTGTGTGTGTGTGTGTGTGTGTGTGTGTGTGTGTGTGTGTATACATATGCATGCACATGCTCCAGTACTGGGGCTTGTACTCAAGGCCTGGGCTAAGAGACAGTTTCTTAGCTTTTTCACTCAAGTCTAGCACTCTACCAATTGAGCCATAGCTCCATTTTGCCTTTTTGGTGGTTAATTGAAAATAAGAGGCTCTTGGACATCCCTTCCTGAGCTGGTTTTGAACCATGATCTTCAGATCTCAGCCTCCTGAGTAGCTAGGATTAAGGACAGGACCCAGTGGCACCTGGCCTCCTAGCTGCTTTTTAAGGTAGGGAGTAGTGTCTTCCAAGTAGGGTGTCTGTGTGTCCCAGGACCCGGTGCTGACAACAAGCATATGCCCAACCGTCACAGACTATGGAAGGAACAGTCTTCTGGGGACATTCCCTTTGTTCCTTACCACTGGGGTATTTCTTCATGGTCACCCCCACTGCCCCTGGAGCTCCTGTCTGCTTCCCTGTCGCACGAGCATGTTTGAATGACTGCAGAAGATTGGCCCACATATGAGGCTGGGTCAGTTGGGTGCTGTAATGGGAAGACTGGTGGGTGGAGGGCCCTAGGCGGTGCCTGATTTGATGATTATGAACTAGGAGGGGTGGGAAGGGAGCCCTTTGTGTTGGTCAATGTTACCTGTCACGTGTCATGTCAGTGACATCCTGGTGTGTGATATTGGGCTGCTCTATCCCTTTTAACACAATTGCTATATTTGTGTTGAGGATTGAGCCTGGGCCTTCATGCATGCTAAGTACATACTTCACTACTGGGCTGCATCACCAGCCCATATTACTCCTTAGTCCCACTCCTACCTTCTCTCTTCTTTTCTGGTACTGGGTGTGAAGTCAGGACTCCGCTGGTATTCTACCACTTAAGCTATGCCTCCAGCTTTGCTTTTTGTCATTTACTTTAGAGATGGAGTCTAGCAGCCTTTTTTTTGGGGCCGGAGGGGGGGGGCTGGCTGGCTTAGAATTGCAGTTCTCCAGATCTTAACCTCCTGAGTAGCTAGGATTATGTGTATAAGCCAGTGGCACTCTCTGTTTCTGTCTCTGTCTCTCTTTGTCTCTTTGCCAGTACGCAAGGCCTGGTTGCTGTTCCTTAGCTATTTCACTCAAGGCTGCCATTTTACCACTTAACCAACAGCTTTCCTTCTGGCTTTTTGCTGGTTAATTGGAGATAAGAGTCTCACAGACTTTCCTACTCAGGCCACCTTTGAATTAGGATCCTTAGATCTCAGCCTCCAGAATATCTGGAATTACAGGTGTAAGCCACTGGTGCCCTGTTCCTTCTTTTTTTTAAAAACATTTCCTTAGCACTTAGTCACTGGCTTTATACTGGGAAAGTTCTTTCAGTTATCTTCCTGGAATTCTTCAAGTTGTTCTCTCGGTTTCCACCCATTTTGACATTGAGAATGGTTAGGCTATAGGGCGGAGGTGAGCTCTGCCCTCAAATAAATTGATCCCTTTGCAAATTTAAAGACCACTCTGAGGTCAGTCAGTCCAGAGCAAAGTACACTAGAGGACAGAGGGCATCAGGTCCATGAGGTCTGAAGTCCTTTCCAGCATTGATTTCTTTCCATCTTGCTTTTAAATAAACCCCCAAACCAAGGCCCACTACAAAGGCTCATTTTAGAGGTGGAACATAAAGATAAACATGAGAGAGAAAATAAAAATCTCACCACCAACAAATAAGCACTGTTTGTGTTTTAGCCTGGTAGTTTTTATGGGGTTGCCTGGAGCCACTGGTATTCTGGAAGGCCGCCTGGGTGCTTCTTGAAACCTCCCTATGCGCTAGTGAGCTTTGACTCTCAGAAGTAGAAAAGCCCATAAGCCAAGGGACACGGAAGCCTGGACCCGCTCGGCATTCACCGTGCATTCACCCTTGGTGGGCTGCTCCTGTGGTTTAATCTGTATCTCTGAACTGCATACACATCCGAAGCCGGAGGCCCTGCAGGCCCGTTGCTCTGGATGGGTGCGCTCACCTTCCTGGGGATGTGTCACACAACACAGTGGGACTTCCCATCCTCATCTCACCATCATTACCACACCACCACCACCACCACCACCATCATCATTTGAATTGGTCCTAGGGCTTGCACTCAGGGCCCTGGGCTCTGTCCCTCAGCTTTTTTGTTTTTCTCAAGGCTGGTACTCTACCACTTGAGCCACAACTCTACTTTCAGCTTTTTGCTGGTCAAGTAGAGATAATATCTAATTTCATGGCCCTCCATTCCTACTCCCCGGCCCTCCAACTGGCAGATCTCAGTTTTTTGAGTAGCTAGGAATACAGATGTGAGTTGCCGGCCCCTGGCTTCATTTGTCTCCTTATTATTGAGAAATGAAAAATACCTCTTAATAGACCTTCCTTTCAATAAGTAGCAGGGTCATAACTTTGGATGCTGCCTTCTATATCTTCCCCACCCTGGGCTCCCCCAGAGGCTGCATTCTGCCTGTCTTGGGCCTAGCTGGTAGTTTCTGTCACCTTTGGGAGGAAGATTCAGAGATATCGAGAGAAAGATTCACTCAGCTTCTAAACGAGACTCAAGAATGGGAAGGAGGGTCTGCGAATGTGGCTTAGTGGTAGAGAGCTTGCCTAGCATGCATGAAGCTCTGGGCTCCAGTCCTCAGTACCACATAAACAGAAAAAGCCAGGAGTGGTGCTGTGGCTCAAGTGATAGAGTGCTAGCCTTGAGCAAAAGAAGCTCAGGGACAGTGCCTAAGCCCTGAGTTCAAGCCCCAGGATTGCCAAAAAATAAAATAAATAAAAATAAAGTTTAGCCATTGATGTCTGGGTACCTCTAAAAATAATAATAATAAAAAAAAGAGAATGGAGAGTGTTGATGGCTTGACCCCTGCAGGTCAAGAATACAAGAACCCTGGATTTAGAACATCTGAATGGC